TTTTTTTTTTTTTTTTTTTTTGAGCTGGAGTCTCACTTGGTCGCCCAGACTGGAGTGCAGTGGCCGCTCCCGGCCACCGCAGCCTCGACCTGCTGGGCTCCGGTGATTCTTCCGCCTCAGTCTTCCAAGTAGCCGGAATTACTGGCACGAGCTACCACTCCCGGCTGATTTTTTTAATTTATAGTAGAGATGAGGTCTCGCCAAGTTGTCTGGGTGAGTCTCGAACCCGCGGGCTCAGACAATCCACTCACCTCAGCCTCCCAAAGGCGCGGGATTACAGGCTGAGCCACCGAGCCCAGTTTAATTCATATATTTTATATGTCTCCAAAATTCTGTGAATATACTAAAAATAACAGTCATATTTATATATTCATATTATATATTATATATTTATATATTATATATACATATATTCATGTAAATTACATGAATTATATATTTAAAAGACTAAATGTTATGCTATGTAAGTTATATGTCAAGAAAGTTGCTTTTATTTTTAACTCAAAAGAATTGAAATAGATCTAAATACACTAAAATGGAAAACTGTCTAAGATATATTAAGTTGGCAAATATGTAATGTACCACTTTGTATCATCCCATTTAAAAAAAAAACTATTTTATATACATACTTTTATATATGAATACATAGATAAAGATCAGAAAACTGAAAACATTTGTTTCACTTAGAGAATAGATTAGAATTTGGGAATCAGAGTAAAAATGGATTTTTATTTTTTATTCTACTTACCTGTGTAATTAAAAACTTTTAAAAATGAAAATATTCTTATGTAACTTACTGGTATAAAATAAAGAAGTATCACCAAAATGAATATATAAATTCACCAACCACAGAGCCTGACATGTGTTAGACACTCAGTAATAATAAGTGTCTTTGCCTTATGTAGTATGAACTCCTAACCCGACACTTGAAGTGAAGGGATGTCATGGTTTTATTCACATCATGCAGACAGCACACATTTCCAACTGCTCTTTTCAAGTGTCAGTAAGAAACTTTTTAGTGAGTCATTCAGGATGAAACAACTCTGTAAAAGTTATCATCTATGCAGGCAAAGTATAACGGGTAATTGTGACAACTGTTTGTCTGAAATACAACACTTAATAGCTCTAAATTTTGTAGAGTTGACCTAGTTCCCTTGTTTAATGGATGGGACTATAAAGTCCTGTTTTATAGGCTTGCCGAAGACACCAAGTTTATTGAAAGGACTGAGATTCTTAACCAAACTTTCATTCCACACACATTTTCTGAACATGCATATGCCAGGTATGGGCAGTGGGCAGTAGAGACACCAAAAAGATAAGAGACAACTCTAACCCAAAAGAGAGTACAGTGCTGTAGGCCTGGTCAGTCACCAGACTCCATTTAAATATCCATTCAGCCAACAAATAATTGTTGAGGGCCAAGAAGGGGACAACTTGTTTTAGACACTACTTTAGATACTTGTAATAATGCAGTACAAAAAAAAAAAGGAAAGTTGAACAAAAATCAGTGCCATCACAGTGCTTGCATTGTAGGGTGGCATACAGAAATAAATCAGTAAGTAAAATAGATATAGTATGAGTGAGAGTGAGTGTTAAGCAGAAGAAAAGAGGTGATTTACTACTACTGATTTACTACATCTGTAAATGGTTTACAGATGATGGGAAGTAACCTGGAAGTGGTAAATGAAAATAACAACAATAAGGAAAAGTAGGAAGAATAGTTTAGTGAAGGGAACTTGAAAACTATTTTTTTAAGAGAGGAGGGATGAAGAAGAAGGGCGTGAAACAGGCGATGAGAAGCAAAGAGGATATCTACTCCTCAAACCAAACTGACGTGAAGCTGTGGAAAAGAATCACCCCTGGAGATGGCTGCAAGAGACGCAGTTCATTGGTGGGTGGAGTGCCAAGTTTGGATGAGATTATGGAGGAAAATGGGTTATCCACAGATAAAGCTGAGGGGGATACTGGGGCGGGGGTTTGTTTGGTATGGGTTCCCAGGGACATAGTGAAAGAGTCTGGGTGGAAAGTATTGTCAGAAATGACAGTGTCCACAGACATTGGGGTTTAGATTCTCGAGTTGACCTAAGTTGACATATCAAGATAAAGACCGATGGAGATGGGGAGGTAAGCCTATTCTTTGCTGGAGTGCACAGTGTACGAGGGCTTCTGCTTTCAGAGGCCAAGTACTGTTGAGGGCAGTTCTCCTAGCAGATGAGACTCTCTGCATGAGAGGAGGGACTCAAACTAAGAAAGGCAATGCTGTCTAATAACCCCTGTTTACTGACCAGTTTTTGGACTAAACTACGCCATCTCTCTCCAGTCTCTAGATAACTATTAATATATTATGTATAAGTTTAAGGGAAGGAAGAGTTAAAAAAGGGAGGGCTCCATTTACTAGTAGTAATTTAAATATTTTTGCATTGGGTTTTATTTGTTTTGTTATTTGAAAACCTAAATGAATAGGTTTATCCAAAGACAATCCAAAAACATTGTCATACTGGATTGATGCATGAGTTCATAGCATTGTTTACATGTCCATGGAATGAAAAAGCCACGTGATGGTTGACCGGTCACAGTTTATCACACTTGTCAGTTCTCAGGTTGACAGACATGGATTATGGTGGATTATACTATTTAAACGCTCTTCATCAAAGCCCAGTGGTCTTCCTGACTGTGGACACTCAGGAGGAAATGAGGTCGCTCAGGTCAAAGTGGTCCTCTTTGAAACAACAAAGCCATTTTCTGGCCGTGCTTTCACTAAGGGCATTCTCCTCATACACAGCACAAGTGTTTCCACTGCCTTTACTCCTCTGTTAACTGGAACAGAAGAATATGTCAGAAGTGTTTGTTTTTTTTTTCACTTGACACTCCATCTTCTGCAACTCACAAATAGCATTAACTTTCTTCAAATCTGTAAGACGCATTCACAAGCACAACATTGTCACTCCAAATAACAAATGACAGACGACAAACAAAATCTCTACACAGCAGTATTTCCATGCCAAAAAAGTAAATAAAAGCTACGAACTTAAACATCAATCTAATATTTTCCCAAATGAACTTAAACATCAGCTTCTTTTTTTAATAAACTTTTAAAAAGAATTGGGAAAGCTCAAACTCAAAACAGAAATGTTTATTTTTCAGAACTATTTAACAAAAATCTCAAACTCATTTCCTGATGAAATATAAAGTTGAATCAATTATTTCTAATATCTAGGTGGTACTCTTCAAGAGTATTTTCCTGAAACAGTCATCACAAGAATTAAATTTTTTGGCTGGCCTCTGCGGATTATTTCTTATTGCTAAAATGTGCCATTTTGGATTTGCAGGTATGAACATAAGCAAAAGTGAGATAACGAAGGAAACTTCATTAAAACCATCTCGGAGATCTCTGCCTTGCCTGGCCCAGAGCTATGCTTACTCAAAGAGCTTGAGTCAATCTACCTCACTCTTCCAGTCAACTGAGAGTGAATCTCAGGCTCCTACTTCTATAACCTTGATCTCCAATGACAAAACAGAGCAAGGTGAGCAGTGATTCCTATTTTGTTGTTCCAAACACAAGGAGTAAGTGTTTTCAAAGCATTCCTTCTTTCCTTCCATTTCTCATTTGAGTAGCATGTATAGAGCTCTTCAGGAAAGAGGCTGGCATAGGAAGGACCCCATGCAGTCAGATGAAAGCCATTTGTTGGTCACCTGGTCCCATTCCTTTCTTGCCTTGAAGGCAGCCAATCTTGTGGAGTCTGATCCTAAGTCTTTCTGTTTGCAGTAAAGGACAGACACAGCTACATGAATCACTGGTCCACTGGGCCACTATTTGCATTCCTTGTGTTGATGTGTACGATTCCTGGCAAGAACTTATAACCAGTACTCCAGTACACAAACTCCAGTACACAATGTAAACCTATTAAAATATGGAAAATGAGCTGGGTGCAGCGCTTCACGCTTCTAATCCCAACTTTGGGAGGCGGAAGCAAGGGGATTGCCTGAGTCCTGGGGTTCAGCATGGGCAACTTGGCGAGATCTTATCTATACAATAAATTTTAAAAATTCAGCCTGCTGTGGTGGCACACACCTGTAGTTCCAACTAATTGGAAGGGCTGAGGCGGAGGGATCGCCTGTGCCCAGCAGGTTGAGGCTGCAGTAGCTGTGAATGTGCCGCTGCAGTAGCTGTGAATGTGCCACTGCACTCCAGCCTGGGAGACAAAGTGAGACTCCAAGTAAACAAATTAATTGATTAATTTAATTAGAGCTAAAGAAAAGTATATAAAAAATAAACTAGGTTTAGTGAAACTAAAGGCTGATGACTTAAATACTGACAATAAAATTACAGATTTGGTTGACTGGACAGGAGTGAGTTGACAACCGAATGTTGACATGCAGTAGTTGAAATTTAGAGACACACAAGCTAGAGGTGACATTCAAGAAAATTTGTGATTGTGGGGGCCCTCTTCTACGCTCATCTAGCCACTGACATACCACACTATGATTCCAGACAACTGTTTTGCACAACAGTGAGAAGTCAAAATACAAACCATACTCTCTGTTGTTCAGTGAATGGGGGGGTTGTTTTTATTTTCTTATTCTTCTCTTGCTTTTTTCATATAAGAATGTATTTTGTTGCGATTCCTTGGAGGTTATTTCTTTTTCTGCTTAACTTGAAATTATCGAAATCCTCTTCTCAATATTGTAAAATCTCTGCAGATTGTAATGAGCTCACAGCCATGTCCGATAAGGAAAGTGGTTAATATTTTCAAGAGGATGAAAGTATTAAGACATTATGTAAATGTTTCTTTTTCTTATTGAAAGTTAAAATTTAAATAACTAATTTTAACTTGCTAACTTAAATTGGTTCTTCACGTTTGGCTATATTTGGTCATTCACCACTATGTTCATTTTTCTGTTGTTTTTCTTTCTGAAAACTATGAATTGTCTTAATTTGTTTTCCAGTTAACACTGAGGATAATAAAACAGACTCTGTGCTCAAATGCTCCTTTGCAGACCTTAGTGATTTTTGCTTGAGTAAGTTGACTTCCAATATTTCTTTCCTCCTTTCCCTTTCCCAAAGGTAAGCTTGAGTTCTTCAAATCTAGAATTAAAAAAAAAAAAAAAGTTCGTGTCTGGTTTTCAACTTGATGGGTAAGTATAATATGCTGGTGTTAAAAAAAAAAAAACCTACTATGGTATTTATTGTACAGTTCAAAAGTCAAATAATTTATGAGAATTTATAATAAATATAGTAACCCCATAACAAAAAATTATCAAGTTTTGCTGTTAGTCTTCTGAAAATATATTTCTACTCTTTATGAATAAGTACATTTATACTACTGTTTCAAGGTACAACAAATTTTGGCACTCAGAGTTTGGAATGTTAGTGACACTGAAAGATTCAATCCTGATTCTTCATTATAGATAATATAAATTTTATTTTTTCCCATGTCAGGGACAAGTTTGCTCAAACTCATCTTTCGTCTTCTGATGGTTTCATGTTATGATCTGCTTCAATCGAGCAAAATTTACATTCAGATCTGTGCTGTCCTTGCTCCTTTATATGTATCTATTATTAAATTTATACTAATTGTTATATTATATTTTAGTATCATATTAATAGTTGAATAATAAATACATATAATTAAATGATCTTTGTCATTTATTTTAGTGGGAAGAAGTCTCACTCTGTTGCCCAGGCTGGAGTGTAGGGGTAGGATCACTGCTAACCGTAGCCTCGACCACCTGGACTTAGACGCTCCTTCTGCCTCTACCTCCTGAGTAGCTGGGACTCCTGGTGCAGGCCACCGTGTCCAGCTAATTTTTTACATTTTTTATGCAGATGAGGCCTCTCTGTGTTGGTGAGGTTGGTCTTGAACTACTGGGCTCAAGTGATTCTCCCACCTCGGCCTCCCAAAATTCTGGGATTATAGGCATGAGCCACTGCGCCCAGTCTGTAATAGTTCTTTTGAATTGGGGCTTTTCATTTACATAAATTAAATAGAAATAAAATAAAACCAAGATTTATCCAAAAAAGATACTAATATGCCCCAACACTTATATTGCAACCTCAGTTTGAATGTATTTATACCTGAAGAAATGAAGCCCTGAGTTTTTAGGAGTGAATACATTGGTGACCAAGCTGCATTGTCTGGATCAGGGGATTTTAACTCTGGCTACGCATTTACATTATCTGAGGGCTTTTAAAACTCTCTGAATTCCACTTCCAGAGAGTCAATTTTAATTGTCCTTGAGCGTGAACTTGGCATTCATCCTTTTAATGATTTACCAGGTAAATAATAAGTGTGGCCAGGATTAAGAATTTCTGGCCTAAATGTTGTTTATTAGTTTCTCTCTGTAAGCATTGTTAAATTACTTTTCATAATTTTTAAAACCATGAGCTGTGTTATTTATAACAGCATTCTGAATGGCCACAAATTAATTAAATTTCTTATAATATTCACTTTTTTATGTGTGTAGCATAGAAACAGTGCGAGAGTATTATTTTCCTAATTAAAGAAAGAAAGCCAGCAAAAACTTCATTTCATATACAACATCAAAAAAGAACATTTAACAGAACAAATACACTCAGTCAGAACACAAAGGCCTTACCTATAGTAAATTATTCTGGAGGAGATTACTACAGGTTGGGTATTCCTTATCTAAAATGCTTGAGACCAGAAGTGTTTCAGACTTCAGATTATTTGAGGAGTTGGGAATACCTATATTATATATTTACTGGTTGAGCATCCCAAATCTGAAAATCTTAAATCTGAAATATTCCATTGATCATTTCCTTTGAGCCTCATTTCAATGCTCAAACAGTTTTGATTTTGGAGCATTTGGACTTTGGATATTAAAATTTGGATGCTCAACTTGTATTCTCTGAAAAGAAACCATAGTATATAGCTTGCATTATCAGTTATTTCCTGATTAAAGCAAGCAAACAAACCTGAAGCTTTTCTTGTCCAAAATATCCATATAGGTAGGAAGTTTGTACAACACTCTTCGCTAACCACCTCCCAAATTATACCAGTTAATAGTTTAACAATCACTCTAGTGATGAAAGCCTATCCATTCAATTCCATGCATTTTATTCTTGACAGCTTGCCACACCAAATGTTAAAAACAATTTCTCTAAATGTTTAATATTATTGGATGCTCTCACCTCACAATTTTTTCTTATTATTTTGGTGTGCCTTAATCATTTGATCCACCTGACTTGTATTTACGTCTCCCTGGACATTGTACATCATATTCAACACTTTAGCATCCCTCAGCATCAATCTATCAATTCTTTCATTCAAGTTATAGAAACATCACAAGAGGTTAAAATACATACAGATGATGAGGAGTTTACCTTTATAATGAAGGTGAGAATGAATCTTCAACTGACTTTAGTATCACTAAACACAACAAGAATCCATCTGGAGGTAACACTTGGTTGGGAAATACTCTTTTAGAGTCAGGTATATATCTATCCTATGGGTGTTTTTATCATCTTTGAAATGAGAGCAAATACACCAAGAGCATAATTAAACTAAGCATGTAAGTATTTTTTGCAGTACATGTGCTCTTTAAATGCAAAGCGGTTACATTCTCTAATTTTGTTTTGTTTTAGAATGCAGATTACCAGCTTCTAGAATCGGTCTGATTATTGCATGGAAATTTCCAGGTACCAGCAGGTTTTGATACCTGGCAAATGCATCTGATTAATGGCTTTTTACAGTGAATTGCTTTGAACTGCCCCATGAGATTATCAATGCTGAGGCAGAGTTAACTGCATGTGGTCAGTGTTTCATTTTTCCAAATGAGAGCTATGGAGGGAGGAATATTCCTGGTTCTATTTATTCAGAGCAGGAAGTTTCTAGTAAGGATATCTACCAGGAGATATATCTATATCTATATCTATATCTATCTATATATATATATACATACACACACACACTCATATATATACAAAATGGTATATATGATATATGGATGCTGCAGGTACTGTTGACAGCTGCTAGGGAGGTGGCAACCAATTAATTAAGAGGGCATTGGTATACAACAACCCCCTCCTAATTAACTCAAATAAATGCCTAACAATAGATGACAGAGAGAGAGAGAGAGAGAGTGCACTCCTGTTAACCATCCTTATATAATATATAATGAATGAAATGCTCTTTTCCTAGCTAGACATTGGTCAAGTCTTCATTCATGTATCCACTAGCTGTATGACAAAGGCATACTACTTAATCTCTCTGAACTTCAGTGATCTCATTTATAAATTGGGATCAATGATTCATTCTTTGCAGGATTTGTGAAGTACATGAAGAAGCATAGTTCCATCACAGCTCCTAGAAAATCCTAGGGGTTCAACAAATATTTGTTCATTGCTTTATTCAATCACTCAAGCTGATCTTTCACAGCAAATTCTGCTAGACCCAGAAGCATCTACACTAAACAGCTATTATTATCAAATTGTGATTTTTATGGCATAATGAAGAAACAATAATTTACTGAACTCTTTTATTACACACTTTACCTGCATTATCTCATTAGGTACTATCCTCAGTCCCTTTTTACTGAAGAGGAAACAGAATCACCAAGAAATAAAATAATTTCGTAAATGTCACATAGCTAGCCAATGGCGAACCGAGATTCCAACCCCAGGAAATCTTAATCTCTAGTCTCTCTCTTAGTCACCACAACAGGCACAGAAGTGATGGGATTAATGGTAGTCAATATCTGTCTGGGGACGAGGGGACACCCCTTATCAACAAGGGTTGCCTAAACGATGCATATTTGTATACCTAACCCTAAACTGTAACTCACAATTTTAAAATAAAAAATATGTTTAAAAAAATAAATAAAACAGTCACTGATTTCCATATAAAACTAATTCTGCAAGAGTTAATACGTATCAGGAAGCAAGCAAAAAACGAGGAAAAAGTTGCATGTTAAAATATATTTGGGCCGGGCACAGTGGCTCAAGCTTGTAATCCCAGCACTTTGGGAGGTTGAGTTGAGAGAACTGCCTAAGTCCACGGGTTCAAGACCACCTGGGCAACTTTGTGAGACCTCATCTCTACAATATATTAAAAATTAGCCAGGAATGGCAGCGCCTGCCTGTAGTTCCACCAACTTAGAAGGCTAAGGCAGAAGGATCGCCTGAGTCCAGCATGTCGCCACTGGGGTGGCTATGAACGTGTCACTTCACTCCAACCTGGGCGATGGAGTGAAACTACAACTCAAATATATATATATTTGGGAAATGATTGACTTAAAGAGCTAATCAAATTGGGGAGATTTGTTTTCATTTGTTGGTTGGTTGGTTTTATTCTTTCATTTTTTTAAGCTGATATTTTACAGCTTTTAATTCTACTTTTCATAGAGTAGTCCACAAAGCCGGGGCAGCGTTCCACTCCATCACCCAAGCCACATGTATGCACACATACTCACACACATGCTCACAACATTATTCTAGAAAGTACTGATCCATGTAGCAGTGAATTTGAAACCCTGGTGTCACAAAATTCTTATCTATTAATCCTGAAAGCCCCACTACCATTGTCTGCACTGTTTTTCTTCTTGGTATGCTGGAAAATGACAAGGAGAAAGCAATACACATTAACAAGTGAACGATGCCTGATTCTGCCCATGCACTGCTGTAAAATCAGGTAACTTAGAAATGAAATTGACAGGGTTTATTAAGACCAGCATGATTTGAGTTCAGTCAACCAAAACATACATCTGTCTAATTTTGTTATGAATCCAAATCTTGTTAATGTTGTGAAACAATTCCCTCCGGAAGTTGTTCATATTAGAGTTTTAAAGCATTTGTTTGCTGTCTACAAGCTTAATAGTTTAGCTTGGTGGACCATTCCTTCATCTTATTCTTTAAAACAGTTATGAACAAGTGAGTACATGGTGATTTTGCTTTCATTTTATAGCAATAGATAATCTCCATGAAATTTTCATTATTTTTCCTAATGACATCTCTTATTAAGATGGCATAAGAAAGGACTTTGTCCTAATGTTCCAAACCT